AGCAGAAGTCACTGAGGAAGAAAGAAAGCAGGCTCGAATGATCTGTGGAGCCCTGAATTGGATTGCCAAAGAAGGCAGACCTGATGCGGCTGGAGTGGCAAGTTTGATGTCTTCACGTTTGAACAAGATGGTGGTTGAGGACTTGCTCCAGTTGAACGATGCCATCAAGGAGATCAAGGGCAATGCCGCGTTGGCGATATCCATCCAACCTCTGAAGAAGATGAGGTTGGCAGTGGTGACTGACGCGTCTTTTGCGAATCATGGATTCCACAGTCAAGGAGGCCAGATGATCTTGAGCCATGAAGAGGGTCTCAAGGAAGGCCTGGAGGTGAAAACCAATCTTCTTTGGTGGAGAAGCGGTAAGTTGCAAAGAGTGGTGAACTCGACGCTTGCTGCGGAGACACAGAGTCTCAGTCGAGGCATTGGTGATTTGATGTGGCTAATGCTCCTCTTCAAGGAGATCCAAGAGCCAGACCTCCACCTGAGAGACTGGGCCCACGGCTTGAAGAACCAGGAGATCGTGGCGATGGCTTCAAGTGAGAGCGACGGAAGGCTAAAAGAAAGCCTTGCCATAGTAGATGCCAAGAGTTTGTATGACTACCTCTCCAAGGAAACTTTGGGGGGGTCAGGACCGTCGCACGGCCATAGAGGTTCAGATCGTTCGAGATGATCTCTCTGCCCTCGGAGGCCAGATTCGATGGGTAGATCATGTGTCCATGGTGGCAGACGCCCTCACCAAGGTGAAAGGAGCGATGACCGCTTTGAAGAGGTTGCTCACGACAGGTCGCTTTTCCATCAGGGCTGAGAAAGACTTGATGGCGACACGTGAGGAAGCTAGGAATCAGGGCAGAACGACCTCAGATCTCCGGAAGAAAGGCACTCAGGTCAACAAAAGTTTGGGGAGCTGTGAAACCAGCATGGAAGTTCAACCGTAGTTTGACCTGAGTTCCTTGGACATCTTGGTTCGTCAGTGGCCCTTCGTGTCCTACCGCCCTTTTGCTGCGAGAAACATGTCGTTCGAGTGAGCCCGCTTCGCTTTGTGGTCCCACAGTATATATAATCAAATAATGAGTTTGCTGACCGTGTGTCCTTACTCCTGCAAAAGCTCAATCATTTCGATTTCTTGAGCGAACTTCATTCGGTTTGGCTGGTTGGCGTATCTTCCGCACTTATTCTCAGGCGTGGTAGCAGTGGCATTGGCTGTGCCACGGTTCACAGTGGTGTTCAGCTCCTTGGCAATCAAGATGTGCGGTGCTTTGTTGCACTGGATGTGGGTGGTTGGCAGGTTGAAGACTCAGAAGCATAAGCACAGCCGTTGGATCCAGCACCCAACCCCATAGGCCACGCAAGGCCTTGGATTGCACAGTAGTTGGCAGCCCTGCGTCTCCCCATGGCCAGAAGTACCTTCCAAGAACTGGGCAACAGTATGGCACCAAAGCACTAAGCAAGAGGAAAAGAAAGAATACAATAACAGGGTGAACACTATATTACTATTCCAGGAGAGGTGTTACATGCCAGAATATGTTTCGGATTATTCTTGAGTGGTATCTTTTTTCTATGGAGGCCTGACGTATATCTTACCACCCCGATGGTAAATTATACCATTGCTGGAAGGCTAGAAACTAATGGCAATTCCATGGACACCTTCAAAGATGCATGCATATTTGCGGATCTACACCAAATCTATTATTGGGGTGGTGTTTGCGAGGTTGGCATCCCCATTCTTGGGGGGTTGGAGGAGGGAGGGATGAAGTATGAGCAAGGTAAGGGACGTAGTGGTTGAAATTGCTGGAATGCTACGTATAATTTCATGGCTGGAATCGTTTGTAAACTCATATGCCAATTCAAAATCGCATCCATATGCGTGGATTTACAACAATTAGTACAAGCATGATATTATTGGGGTGGGTTCTGAGGGGATGGAATATTTTATTGTGTACGGGGAGGTAGGCTTGAAGGGATGGCGGTAGGGATAGTAGCGGTCGAACTTCTACTGTATTTGGTTGGTTAGGTTTGCAGCGTTGTGAGCAGTCTTGTGTGTCCCACAGTCGAGTTTTGTAGAGTCTCTTATAGAGTTTTCTTAAATGCTCCCATCCTGAAAAGCATTTCCGTGCTTTATTATCCCAAACTTGTGAAACCAGGGTGGAGGATCTTTCCAAAACCTATGTAATGCGGGGGTTGGAATATATAAGAATAGTTATTCTTGGCGTGACCTTTACCCCTACTAAGGCGCCCGCCTCTTTATCGTTATATTATATTATATAGTATTATATAGTTAAACAAAAAACAGCACATGTCTATCCGTCTGATGAAAGATGCTATGATGTGATGATGTGTGTCAGTATATGTGATGATGTGTGATGTTCTTCTTATGAAATTCTCCGCCATGTACTGTATCATGCCGGTTTTTTCCTCTCAACACTTCAACCAACCCCCTTCCTCGAAACGCCAAGGGCAAGGATACAACAAAACAACACTCGAGACTCCATTGGGGGTTAACATGATGGTTTCTTCAGGTGCGCTTAGGTTTGCTCTTGGGTGCTGTAGCAGGGAGAACAAAGCATATTTGTTTTTGTTGGGTAACCATGTTTGGCCTTGGCCTCATTCATCAAAGGAGCTTGGAAACAAAACAAGGACAACTTGGAGTAACTGGTTTCGCTATTCTTTTCTCATCGCCCAAGGAACTTGGCAAAGAGTGGGGTGGGTCCAGGTACCAGTGTGATCAGCTGTTCTTGCGTTGGACAGTTCGGATTGATGAGGTTTGATAGGCCTGGGTGACCCACGCGGAAACCGGTTTCAACCTTGTACTGAAATTCGACATATGTCACAGGATGGGATGCATTGAGATGCATTCAAAGGTCTCTTCACCGCTGCGCGACTGCACAGGTTTCTTTAGCTCATTGACTGCACCATGCGTGTCCTTGATATTTCCGCTACTCTTCGCAGGCCAGCAAGTGGCAGATTACAGTGGAGCTTGCTCTAGGAAGAATGACAGAAAATCCAAGAAGAATCATCCCAATCATCCCGCATTGCAGACTATATCTTGGAGAAGGTCAGCAAGTGCCGCCGTGGCTATCACGCAGTCCTTTTCATCATTGCAGTGCTGAGCAACTTCCGCTGCGCATACATGCGAGCGGAAGTGGGGCGATGCCGAAGCACAGGGACTCTCCAGATGTCGATTGAATATAGGGGTTTGGTTTGGTGAGCTTCTACTTGGTGGCCTTCTCTGGGGATGGGGGCAGCTGGAGACAACCCAACGTACCTGCCTACCTTTAGCTGCACTGTGATTAGCATGAGCAAATACCATCCTTGGAGGGAAACAAACAGGGAAGCCTGCGAGGCTTGAAAGGCACAAGCAGTTTTCTCCAAGCACATCCTTCGGTTTTCTCAAAACGGTTTCCTCACAACATTCACAGCCCATTGGATTCAATTTCTTTTTGGTGTCCAGGGGGTTGTGAGGGTCTCACTTTTTGGATGAGACGACCCAGGCTCGAGAACACACCAACATTAGGTAGGAGGCCATCGCTATTAGGTTGATTGAGTGGGTCTACGCCGCTCGTCAACGAGCGGAGGCATGATCTTTGGCGTGTACACCTCGATCTGGGACGTTGTGAGTGGGTGAAACATGGTGACACCTCCAAAGATTATTGTTTTATGTCATGAACTGTATGACATGCAAAGAGTGTATTGCATGTCGGCGTTCTCCGGGCAGGTCAATCCGACCAAATCCAAAGATCAAGAATCAAGGAGGCAGCATGTATCTCCTTTGGTTTTTGTGAAGTCCTCCACTTTGCCCTAGGGCCTATGGTAGGAACGTTTTCTTACCCAACGTGCAAGAATTTCTGCCTATCTCAGGTGTTTTAAAGGACCAATTGCTCGGATTGCGTCGGTGTTTCAAGTGTCCAGTTTTGGGGAGATCCCCATTAGCTCCCGCACCAGCTCTTCGTCCATCTTCCAGGAGGGAAGGGGTTCATTACACAGTGATAGCCAGTTCTCACAAGAAGAGGGCATCATTTGAAAGGCGAAGCTGGCGAATACTGCAAAAAGATTTGGCCGACTCCAGATATCTGCGGTAAACAGACAACAGACGGTGTTTGTGTTGTTAATGTTTAAGGAAGGACACCACGAGGCAAAGAGATCCAGCGGCTCACTGAAGCTGACAGGACGCTGACATTGACGCTGGCTGGACCCAACGTGAAACGGGGTATGCTTGATTCGCTTCAACCTTTCTTTGGCATCCATACTGACTGTAGACCTTGCAACTTGACTTGACCTTAGGGCCAAGGACTATGTCCAAAAATGTTGGTGTTGCTTGTAGCCTTAGATTGTGAGTCATATCAGTCATTTTCTTTCAGGTCTCTTGAAGTATTTTGCGTTTCAAGCCTGGGGTGCAGATTCGGGGTGCAGGGGTCCAACGGTGGCGCCGTGCAGGGTGCAGTGTAGGTTTGAAGGTGCTTGAAGCGTACAGTCACGCAATGCAGTGACGATAGGCAAGAGCACACTCTTTGCTCAGGTTCTTTCGCAACGTCCATTGTCAATGCCAGTGATCTGGGCAACTGGATACTGTCTTGCCGCCAGCAATCAACAGATGGGAAGAGCAACTACAGTAGAGTTGGAGTTGATAATTAATAGCAGCAGACATCTCAAAGACTGTTTTATTGATGATGTCTTATGGACCCAATATTTCTGCTTCGCAGCTGACAATGGCAAGTGTTGATGATGTTCTTGATACCGTGGAATGCTCGTGGCTTTTGCTCGCGTTTTCTCTCAAGAGAAGTCGAGGATCAAGTCTCACGCACAATCGCGTCAGAGGCAAGTGTCAGAAAAAGCTTTCGCTTGCCTAAGCGGTTCGTTGCTTGGTAGGATCACCGGGCAAGATGCAGAACCGCTAAGTCTCTTGATTCTGGACTATCAGTAGGTGAGCTTCGTTTTTTGAAGATGCAAGAATTCTTCTCTTTCGTCCGGTCTATCCAAAAATAAACATGTGCTTCAACTTATCCATGCTTATATTGTTCAGACAAGATATCCTAACTGGCAGCACTGAGACCGCTGCCAAGGGCCTGGCAGTGACCTGCCATGGTCAAGGGCTTGGCTTTCGACAGGTTCAAGAAAAGGCACGTCAAGGGCTCAAGGGAGTGGTTGTTCAGCAAGCACAGGCGCAGGGAGGTCTCGAGTCCAAAGACCATTAAAGACCGCCTATTCATGCTTCCAACATCTTCAATAGCTGAAGGTGAAATTTCGGACTGGTCTTCATTAGTACATTGACCAGACATCTTGCAGCAATGCACATCAAGAGCAATCCCAGAATATATAACGTGAGTCAGCAACGTGGATGCCCCCAATTGTGCCAAAGACTCCATTCAACAGTGCTCATAAATCCCCTGTGCAGCCTCCACATGTCGGCAATTCTGTCTTTCAAAACGCTTCCTCTTTTTTTTCCCCGTGGTTTTGACTCTTTTTGGGACCCTCATTTCTGGTAGGACAGCATTTGTCTCCTCGTAGGCGCCCAACAGCGAGACGCTGCTCGCGGCTTTTCGAGAGCTTGAATCACTGTCGCCCGGTTGGGAGAGAACGGCGGTTTTTGACGGCACCGGCAAACGGTGGTGGGGCTAGTAAGTGGCAACCACTATCGCAATCTATCGCAACTGATATGGTAAAGATGTTGTTTGCGTTGTTGGCATCATGAATGTGCTGGAAAAGGGCATGATTGGTGCTCAGACTGATGGAGATGTCTCAAACAGCAGGATATGAAGCTTAGGGTATATCTTTGGGGCAGTTCCACACATGTTTAAGGAATTGAAGGTTAGAACTAAAGTTCATGTACCCATGCAGGCTTCATAAAATGCATTGTGACTGGCAGGACTTGTCGAGTTGGCTTCATCTCAGGTTTGGCTTTCAGTCATTATCGCGCAATCTATCAGAGCTCTCCAATGTCAGAAAGATTCATGCTTACTTAGTGCAAACGCTATGGAACTTTATTAACTCTGTTAACCCGTTCCGTCCGCTGGGACCTTTGCCTTTAAAGGCAAAGCGCGACATCTCCCCAAGGCCAAAGTTGCAGGAAGAGAGCGTTGTGCTTGTCTGCCGGGACGGACCGCCACAGAGCTCAGAAAAAAACCGGTAGCTCAGGCTACGACCAACGTGCTCCCGTCAAACCATGTCATGTGTATTTATATATAAATATGGGTGTTTGCTTTTGATTCACCTAATATCATCTAACATCCACAAGTTGTCACAATTGCTGCTCTTCTGCGACCACTTCATAGGCATGTCTATTTCAAGGTCGTTTTCAATGATGTTAGGTATTTAAATCAGAGAGGCACAAGAGTTTGCCAGACAAACGAAAGTAGCGTTATGAGGTCCGGTGCCCAACTCAAGACTCCGCAATCATGCAGGACGGTCGATGTCAGCTGCCCTGGCAGTGGCCTGGTTGACGCTTCGCTGTGGGCAGGACCTTTTGCGCTTCGTGGACGAAAGTCCATTTTGCTTGTTGAAATGTACTGGTCTCTTAGTGATGTGGCGCAAGGACTTGATCAACCGATTGTATAACACTAGCTGCGCATGGATAATTACGTGATGGACATATCGCTAGGTTGATCTAGGTTGCCCAAAGTCTACAAGCATTCAGGTTGTACTACTGAGTGTACAAGCATATGCCGCCGCTGTACTCCAGTCTTTGGACTCCTCCGTCGACGCAGTGGTGGAATCCGCTAAACAGGTGCCGTGGGCAGCGTTGCATTGAGATCGATGGGAGATGAAGAGAAACAGAAGCGGTGGCATCGTACAGGCGATGAGGCAACCATGTCGCGATTGAGAGCTTTAAGAGGTGATTGATGCGGAGGCCGTGTGCAACAGGTTGTTTATGGCCAGCAGCCTTGCAGCTGTTTGGCAGGAAGAGCAAGATTCGGATTTGGAAGCCATTGCTAGCTGTGCAAGGAGCAGTTCCCTCAAAGGGGTGACTCCAAAACCTATTGAGTAAGTGCCCTCGATGTTTCTGTTCATCGACGCGCCCACTTAAAATCAGTGCGTTGGACATTCAATCCCTCAACAAGACGACTGGCAATTCAGCTAGCATCAAATGGATGCAGCTGTTTAATCACAGGCATGGTCCTTTATGTCCTCCATTGATTGAGGTATTCCACTAAGTACATCTCATTCGTGCAGAGGTCGGGGCTATTCGTTGCCCTTTGGAGGCCTTCGAAAACCGCGAGGTGCGAAGAGGGTGGGTGGGGTTTGCGAAAGCTCATCTCCCAAAAGAATTACAATAACAAGGATTCAGGATGAATAACAATAATGATCGTTTGAATGAGGATTGAATAAGAACTTTTTGGCAGGAGATTCTCGCCAGCTCTTTGTCTAATGGCGAAATGTGGCTGTGCCCAGTCTTTGGGATTCTAAGGCTTTAAGGGGTGACCATCCAACCAACGGACCAACAAGCAAACAACAACCTAGTAGCGATGGCCTCCACCCTAATAGCGATGGCCTCCAACCTAGTAGCGATGGCCTCCAACCCAATAGCGATGGCCTCCAAACTAATGGCGATGGCCTCCAACCTAGTAGCGATGGCCTCCAATCCAATAGCGATGGCCTCCAAACTATGTAATAGCGATGGCCTCCAACCTAGAAGCGATGGCCTCCAACCTAGTAGCGTTGGCCTCCAACCCAATAGCGATGGCCTCCAAACTCTATAATGGCGATGGCCTCCAACCTAGAAGCGATGGCCTCCAACCTAATAGCCATGGCCGCCAACCTAATAGCGATGGCCTCCAACCTAGTAGCGATGGCCTCCAACCCACTAGGGATGGCCTCCAACCTAGTACGGTGGCCTCCAACCCAATAGCGATGGCCTCCAACCTAGAAGCAACCTAATAGCGATGGCCTCCAACCTAGTAGCGATGGCCTCCAACCTAGTAGCGATGGCCTCCAACGAAGAAGCAAACAACTCACAATGTCTCCTGTGATTTCTCTCAGATGTTGGCCATCAACAAGCACCACTCAGTGGCAACGCAGTTTACCCAAGCTTACCCCAAGGCCTTCGCCGCGGCCCTCTCCAAGGCCAGCTACTTGGGGTCGAATGGGTAGGGAAAGTGGGCTTTCCTTGCCCACTGCGTTTTGACATGCAGTTCGTTGAAGTCAACACATGAACAGAGTGTTGAATTCGGTGATTAATTGATGCAGTTTGATGCAGTTTGGCAATTTGCCTGCTCACTGTTCGCTCTTAATGCATTGAAGAACTATTCATGTCGCATGTGTTCTTTTTCATGAGCACACCAGAAAGCCAGGCCAGTGGTCAGTGGCGTGCCATGTCTTTGTTTGGCAGCTTTTGGCTCTTGGTTGTAGAGATTGAGCCATTGAGCCCTTTGCAAATTCGTTTGCGTATCGGAGGGGCCGCAGACACAGTTTACCCTAGCACAAACAGCAGGTGACTCATGGAAGTCCCTAACCAGAAACATCATGAAACTGCCCGGTCGTCCACGCAGTATATTCAACTTGGAGTGATTCTAGATCCTTCCATCCGAACGTGCTCAATGGATCCAATCGGTGCAACTGAGATCCCAGAGGACCAAGCAGACCGAGCGGAGATACCAGAGGCCAGCGAGATCCTCGAGGGCTTGTTCGTAGGTACAGCGGAGGCCGGAACAGAAGCTACTGTGGGCGCCAACCAGCGCCAGATCGGCTACATTTTGAATGTGGGAGGCTGCGTGACCCCAGCAATCTTCGCTGCCCTGGCGGAAGCCTTGGCCTTGGAAGAAGTGGACAGAGAACTGAAGGAAGAAAAGGAAGTGCCGGAAACTGAAGAAGAGGTGCCGAGGGTGAAGAATTTCAGAATCATCTCCTTGTCAGAAAGAATATGACTAGGAGGAGCAAGGACGCTACTAGGAGCAAAGGGCATCGCTACTAGGAGCAAGGACGCTATTAGTAGCTCCTGGCATCGCTACTATGAACAAGAGGACGCTACTAGCAAAGTCTCCTTGTCAGAGTGAGAAGCCTTCCCTCATGGCCCGTTTCGCCTCGACAGGCCGTGATCCCTCGATGGGGCCGTTCGCACCGTTCCGGCCAGCGCTATACGCAGAACGGCGTGGAGACCCTGGCCATTCCGATGGACGACTACGGTCGCACGCAGCTCACAGAGGAACTGCTGCAGAGCTGCTTCGACTTCATTTCCATAGGGCTCCAGGAACGGGGCCATGCCCTGGCGATAGACTCAGGTAGACTCAACCTGGGCCTGTTCGTGGCCGTTGAGAAATCATTTTGGAGTTTGTTCTCCTGGAAAGTACACTGAGTCCTTTACAAGATTTTTAGAATATAGAGTTCTTGCAATATCCAACCGCGATGGTGTTCATGCATATCACCTGTCATGATCTGTCATGTAGCCCGCTTGGATCAGGAGGGCCGAAATGTCTTGGTTCATTGTCGCCTGGGGGTGAACCGCAGCGTCACCGTGGTGGCCGCTTATCTCATACGTTGCAGAGGCTTCACGGCGGAGGCAGCCCTGGAATTCTTGAAACAACGGCGGCCCTGTGCCAAACCCAACGATGCCTACTGCGCCCAGCTCTATGATCTTGATCAGGACTCTTGTTTGTGTATATAATAAAAATGATTGATTTTTGGATGCCTTCGGTTTGTTGTTCCGCTTCACTCTCGTTGTTTTCAGCTAAAATCTTCATTCTTCAACTTGTCAACCAGCGCTTGCTGGTGTTGTTCAGATGGGAACAATGAACAATTGATATCCATTGATCATGATGTTGGAGATCATTCATACAAACACTTTCTGGAAGAAGATTAGAAATTCCAGGAGAAAGGCATGTTGGCGGAGCCGGATGAGTGCGAGCCCATCGCTTTGACATCCCCGACCTCATGAGCATTATAATCCAGGTCCCATGAAGGGGAAAAAACTTGGTGGCAACTTTCGCTCAAGTCTGCAGAAAATTGGATGGCAATCCAATGCCATGATCTTGAGGTCTTCAAGAAGTGGCTCTTGAGGTCTTCAAGAAGTGGCTGGGATTCCTGACGGTTTGGAATCCTCAGCAATCCTCAGATTCTGAATTCTGGAGGTGCTCCCGCTTTGGCCTTGCTGCAGAGAGCTTTGGAGTGGCCCTTGGTAGTTCCAAATTCAGCGAGTTCCAAATTCAGCGCGCATTTTGCAACGTTGCCTCCGCGCTACTACCGCCGTTTACTGTAAGGCACTTGGAGCCATCGCTTGCCATTTCATGCGTTTCACAAAGTGTTGGTTGATGCCATCGTACGACTTCCAGGGTTTGCCAAGCAGCCAAGCACGGCGCAGATCGTTAACCAGACACGGACGAAGGACTCACACAGATTGCGCGCAGATCCGAAGTTATCAAATCAAGAGGCCAATTTGCAGCTGTTCGACCAGTCTCAGTTTAGACACCCGTGTAGCACATACAGCACATTTACATGTCTGGTGAACTGTGAACCCAGCATCAGTACTCGCTATTAAATAGCGCACTCCCCGAAGCACCTCCCCATGCTCAGCACCTCCGCTGCCCCAGGTCCACGAGCCATGAGAGATCATGAGAGCGCCAGGGAGAGACGACGGCGAAGCGGTCAAATCCGGGATGGGGAACGGGGGGTAGAGGGATCCACCCCAAGATCCACCCCAAGATGTGTCAATTTCAATTAAGAACCCTTAGTCCCTTAGTGTTTTTATTCGTATCCGGGGATTTACGAGTGACTCGAGTGGGCAGGTTCCCATGTTTGAGAAGAAAGGCTACTTGATGTGAGAGATCGTCGGTGGAATCTAGTCAGCCTGAGAGGGAGACGCACCACGGCCTGCCTGGTCACCAGGCTGAGTCTAAATACCTTTTGCCTATGTACTGTACCATTCCCGTTCGAGTTGTCCTTCGTTCAACCAAGCTGTCACTGTCCAGAGTGTCCTTTGCACAAGAATTCTACTGTAGATTCTAGTTGGAAAGGTGACCTATGCAAGGACTACTTGCGGATGACGAGGCTGATCCAACATCAACACTTGCCACTTAAATCGGATTTGTTGGAATCACCCACAATGTGCACTAGTCAAGCGCCGTTCTTGGCTCAGACGGACAGAGTGCGATCCAACGGCATACCTGATGGGGGCTGCGATCCATATATCTCCAAAGAGACAGGCCGCTTCTATATGGGGGAGATTGAGAGGTTGAGGAAACAGTACCATGTCCGTGTGATTGTATATATTTATTATATAATGAAATATATTTTGTGGGGCCTTCCAAGATTGAGACTCTCTGGAGCAGCGGCACATGTCGGTGTTTTGTTCGCCTGTCAGGTTGTCTATGGCGACTACTACTTGCCCGTGACCATGGGCGAAGATGACTCGCCCCAGCCATCCATGCATAGCATGGAGGTGACATTCTCCCTGCTCTCAGGGCAAAGCTTGGAATTGACCTTGAGCCAGGAACCTCAGAAGATCTTCTTGGTCAGCGGAATCAGGTCACCAAGAATGAAATTCCAGCTCGAAACGCTGCCCGTTGTACCGTGTTTAACATCTTTTTACTGTAGCATTTGTCAGCCCCATGTTCAAGTCAAGCAATTGAAAAACAGTTCAAAGTGAGTACCGCAGAATTATCCGTGTGTCCTAGCATGTCCTTGCTAGGTCGGAGAGATGCAACGGTGAAGGCTGCAAGACAACAGATCGCACGGCTGTGTTGTATGCCCGAGCAGGCACCAGCAATCGACAGAGAGAGAGAGAGAGGGATCGGTTTAAGCCAGCGTCTTGTTGGAGCTGCATGTCACACAGCCGTTTTCCAGTGGATTCGCGAGTCAGCTGTTTGAGCTTGGTGAAAGATAGGGACATGATGCTATTTTCAGTGGGTAGGGGAAGTTGAGGACATTGCAAGCTATTTGGCCGAGACACTCTTTCTCACAATGGGAAAGGGAATCTGGCTGTCAAATCTAACTCCTTTAGTGATCCCGCTGTTTGTACTGTTTGCATCAAGGTCCTATTCACAGGCAACCACCTGTAGCAATGTGAGTGAGATTATGTGAGGCTAGGTGGGATGGACGTGGATAGACGTCCATCTCATTAGACGTCCATCTCATTGCAGGGGGTATGTCCTCATCATATTCAGGATCACTTGGGTAAAGGCTTTGTTTTGACATGTTTTGACATCAAAGAAGCCCCAGCCGGTGGAGGCGGTTCACCTTTTGAATGAGGGACACGTGCTCGAAGACGAGGCATTCAAGCTGGCTGGAGGGGGTCGAAGCACGCCGCGGGGACATAGATTATGGATGGTGACTGGAGCCTGAGCTCCTCAAGTACTGTATTATATATACATTATACTATATGTTATATATATATATGTTGTGTTTTTAATAGGTAAAGGAACGGTAAAGGAAGAGTTGAAAATCCGGTGATATCAAAGTCCATTGGATACCTTCTCGACACCATGTGTTCTCCGCCGCAACCTATCTTCAGCCGAGAATATATATATATATATCTATTGGCATTGCACTACATGGATTGCCCGGCACACAACGCCTTGATCACGGGGTTTCGGAAGCCCCCTGCATTGCCTGCTTCCGTCATTGCCCATTGGCCGTTGTAGAGAGATGAGGTGCAGTACTTCCCATGTATATACCAGCCCAGCCCCGGGATGCCCGGCCCAGAGACCTGCCGCAGTTGCATCTCCTTGGCCTTGAGTCCATACAGCTCATCTTCGATGCGAGCTGTTTGAGGAAGAGCCCGGCGCTTGGATGTATATTGCAAGTGTCACATGGCTGGGCTCAAAACATTTCAGAGAGAGGTGATATGCCTGTCGATTGAAGTGGCCCGCTGGCAATGATAAACTCAGAATCTTCAAGATCTTCAAGCTTTGCTCGCGACCGACTCCTGATAATTACTCAAACCTGGTTTATTGGCCTTAAAGGAAACTGACATGTTGTGGGGTTCCGGTGGTGCGGGGAGGCCACTTGCAACCCACACCGCCTAAACGCCGCATCGGCCCTGTAGCTCACGCGGCGTGAAAAACTGCGTTTGGCGTCGGTCGCAGACCTTCCACCCGAGTGGCCGAGGCTATTTGCCTGGGATTTCCAGCCTTGGTCTTTGGCATGGTGTACAGGCGGGAAAGGGCCACCGCCAGCCACCCTTCTTCTCCATGAAACGGCCCAAATGGAACAAAAGAGATCCTGAAACGGAAACCCTTCCATTGCGTTCGTGTAGCCTATGTCGCCGTATGTTCGATGGACATGTTTTTTTGCTTTGGTTTCACACATCCTGCCTGTTGCGTGGTGAGGCTCGTTTCAGGTTGCTCAATCCAGTGCCTCTTGGCACTTGGGCAACTGCAACGTTCCGTGAAGCATGCCAAATAAATTCCTCGACCTCGCAGCGCAGTCCTTTGGCTTTACATGCAAGTGAGGGCTGATTTACGGACCAAGGGGTTGCTAGAGCTCCAGCTGTGGGGGATTCGCGCCATATAGCAAATTGATGAAAATTGCCAACACAATCAATAGAACAGGCAGAGACAGGGGTGTTAATTTCTTCCACTTCGCACACAGTTGCTGAAAGTTTCCAGTTTGCTCAGGTTCGTCCAGCATATTCCGATATTCTGCCAACCTTGACAATGGCGCCTTCCACTGCATGAATGCTATCAAGAAGTCAGGCAGGGCGTCGGCAATGCGTATGCTAGAGCATGGCTCAGACTCATGATAAACTTGCCGCAGCAAGAATTGGACCAGAAGCTATTAGGTTGGAGGTCATTCCTATTAGGCTGGAGGCCATTCCTGTTATATAGGTAAGAGGCCATTCCTAATAGGTTGGAGGCCATTCCTATTCGGTTGGAGGCCAATCCCATTAGGTTGGAGGCCATTCCTATTAGGTTGGAGACCATTCCTATTAGGTTGGAGGCCATTCTCTTCATGGAGTCATGGATTCTTGGAAGAGAAGCGGACAGGAAGCGTTGGAAGACATTTTGCCATCAGCATCGAGGTGGGCAGATGGATGTCACACCAGAGTCAGACTCCAATCCACGAAGCTCTTGAGGTGGCTCGAGATTATTTCACCAGTTTAATCTTTAACAAGGCTTTTAGTCAGGGGCCAAGCTCTGGCTGCAACCATTCATGATTGAGGAGTTGTCTTCTGTAGACCTCGTCGATTTATGTGTCCAACAACCTCAGCCCTGACCTTCTCAAGTTGCCGACTTGGAGCCATGCTTCCAACAGTAGCTTATGACACCAACGTGGTTCAGGTTCTACTTGTAGGTTTTGATGTACCTCCAGAGGGCTCCACATGGCTCTACTCCGTGAGACATGGCAGTAGAGGCATGAAATCTTTTGCTGTTCTATAGGGGGCAACTCTATGTCTATGTTCAATTCATTTCAATTGGAGATCGCCTTGGGGATTTGAGGATATCGCAAAGTGGTGAAAAATCGATGGCCGCTTGAATGCCAAGAGCATATGTCATGTGTCCCGTGGATTTGGAATGACAAAGGAACCCTAGAGCCCTACTATGATGTTCCTCATGTTCTTTGCCGTGTCGGCGTTTGGGTCATTAGAGGCCTTTCGATGAAGGCAGCATGTTCAGCCGTCTAATTGGTTCTGTTCGACAGAGAGTGCCAACGATTTGGGAGCGCACATCAACCAGCCTTGATTTCGGTTCGTGCAGGGCCTGGACCAGTACCGCGCCCGAATCTTTCGCCCTTTGTCCAACAAGGCAGTGGGTGAGATGGGCATTGCCTTTTCATTGGTGGTCTAATATTGTCTATTCACTTCCATTTACACCGTTCATTGCCAGGCAACGCCTGAAGCGCAGGTGTTTGCTGTATGTATGATGATGTATCATGTATCCAATTATGTAGTGCTACCAGAGTTTCCAGGCATGACCAGGGTCAATCGAGGGGCCTTTGGTTGTCTTATTGTGGCTGTGGGTCAAAACCCAGATAGGTTGATCCTTGGTAGTAGTCTATTCTGATTCTGTTCATTTCTGCTGGTCTGGGGTCCCCAGTTTTGATCCATGGTCAGTAAGATGCCACCTCTATAATATGGCCAACATAGGATACATAGGTTGTAAATGGTTGTATATAAACCCATCCACCACCGATGAGAGAGAGAGAGAGCTTTGTCCTGACAGCAGTGGAGCTCAAGTAGATAAAATTTGAAAAACGACAGAGAAAGAAGGGAGCTTGAAAGGCTACCAGGGTATATGAGGGTCCAGGGTTGTGATACCTTTGGTTGCTCGGGCAGCTTGGCCTTGGAGGAATACATCTTGTACGATCCTGCTTCCCACACAGGCGATGGCCGATGAGCGGATCGGGGCATTTGAAGGGTGTCAACAGGGCGTGATGATCCCCTCTACAACCAGAGCAAGAACAATGGTACCATGCTAATCAATCAAACGAGACGAGGAGGCCTCCAAAACACGTTTTTTCTTGTTGGGTGTTGTTGGTCGGAACTGTATGGAATTGTGGCATGCTTTGACAGAGTGTTGCGCAGTTTGATTGAGAACATGCCCAATACATAATCGCCTGAGCCTGAGGCTTTGGATTTTGCTACTAGTACTCACCACGAAGACGACGACGACTACCACTGCCACTACTACTAGTACTAGTACTAGTACTAGTACTAGTGCTAGTAGTACTAGTACTAGTGCTACTACTACTACTACCACCACTATGTACTACTACCACCACTATGTACTACTACCACCACCACCACGCCTACGACTTTGACTACGACTACGACTACGAACTACTACTACTACTACTACTACTACTACTACTACTACTACTACTACTACATAATATATAGTAATATTAATAATAGTAGCAAGGTTGGCCCTCTTAAACAACATGCCTTGATTCATGCCTCTCTGATCCCGCGAGGTGCGCCGGGAGAAGCTCGCGAGATGGGTTGCCTCCGTTTGCGCAGCAAGAGGAGGGTGGGCCCATCGGACTTGGACTTCGTGATGCCCAAGGTGAGAGAGGCCCATCTTGGGATTGCTGGTCCAGCTGAAAGTTTCTATCAGATGTCATGCGGTTTTGTTCTAAAAATGTATTATACGATATTATACAGTTATACAGTATATGCATAGACAATCATATATATACATGTACAGATATACATGTAATGGTTTCTTCCTCATGATGGTGTATCCTGGTTGGTTGATGCCTCCTTACTTGATTTCTGTTTACAGTCCGACCGTTTCCGACCAGGATGGCACAGCAGCACAGTTCAGACCGCTGGCTTTGAAGGAGTCCATTTCGCAGATCTACGAGAGAGGGAGCCTTGAACATTTGCCACTGGGAGAAGAAGTACATGTGTAGAGGTCGGTTATGTTGAATTTTGGGAGCTACTTTCAGAACGATTTGCAAACTTGTTTTGATCTCGACATATCTATATATACATATCTTGACATGCAAGCTCTTCAAGATTGAAATATACTGATCATTGCCATTCCTTCCTTCTCCAGTTTCTACGAAACTTAATGAACAAACTCTTCAGATATATAGTCGCAAATTTGTAGCTGCAAGGGCCAACCATTTCAGGCAAGGATTTGGATCCGAAGCAGTTCCGCCCAAAAAGAAGGTGCACTTCGGGTACGAAAGGTTGCACCTTCAATCACATTCTGTAACCGCTTTCTTTCAGCTCGAGGCAAATCCTGCGTGGCACCTCTGATGTGTCCATCGAGCTTCGATTGCATGGTGAAGCAATCTTTGAAGCTCACCCTATGGACAAGACATGGGCGGTGCGCTTTCAACATCCATTGTCCCACTTCCAAGCTTTTGGAATCCTGATTGGAGTGCTGGACAATGCTTGCTTAGCTAGTTTCCACAAGTGAAAATGCTGGTGATCCCGATTGACCGCTCAGCAGGCTAATCCCCATACGAAGGCCAGCAAAATGATTGATTTGCATGCACATCATGTCCATCAGAGGCAAACCACTACTGTAGGGCGCACGCCAAGAGTGTTTAGTTTGTGTGCAGCGAGTTAACAGTTGGTTGCTACTTGGCCTTCGGTTTGCGTCGGGCACCCAACAAGGGAAGTCTGAAGCAGCTACCTGCCATGCAGGCAAATCCTGCCAATGCAAACTGAACCCAGAACAGCGGCACTCCTCAGTACTACTCAAAGATACTCAAAAGATCTCAAAAGTATAATTAATCTAAATTAATCTCGCTAACTTGCCAGAGTGACATGCCCCTTTTTTCATTGACCGGGGTTATTTAAGCAGAAGAAGTCCTCAGTGGAAACCGCTGGGTACCCACAGCAGTCTATACTGCAATCATTTGAGACTCTCAAAGCCAGATTGCTCAGACGAGAGAAGTGCCACCACGATTGAAGGCTTGAATGTATAGCCTGGTTCCTCCGACGGCTTTCTCCGTCAAAACACCTGCAGCAAGGCAGTGTATGCACCGTTTATGCCAGATGACAAGCCTCGGCAGAACGCACTTCCAAGTTCACAGGGTGTACTGTACGAAGCCCTTGAACTCCCTCACCATGCGTTTGCGGGAAACACGCTGGACCCTTGTGGTTTTGGTGTGCAATGATACCTGTCCAGCACGTTTTCTTGCTGGAATTCAACTTGTCAACCGTGCCAGACGTCGTTCTTTTGCTTGCTACAGTATGATGGAGGAAAGCGTTGGATGCGCTAGGAGTTGCCACTTGTGCATTTGAAGCATATTTTTCTGGAGGCAAACCAAAGCAATTCCTTGAGTGAGGAATTTTGTGGCCTTGGCTCCTCAGTAAAGAATGGAGTCTCAACGCGTTTCCGTTGGTTCCCAGGTGACAGACATATGGGAACCTCGGACGCGCTTGGGTTTCACCATGTCTGCAGCGGGGCAAAGTCCCATGCTGTGCTCGCGTTGCCACCGAGGAGTGTGACCGCAGATGACATGGATTTGGACGGACTCTGAATTGGTCGATTTTCCGCGGAGAGTCCAATCGTGTAGAGTTGAAGATCAAGGGGGGGCCTTGGCTCCGGCACAGTGTTGCTCCGCATGCGCTCCACACGCGCACGGAGAAAGTGAGCATGCCCTGTACTGGGTGAACTGTTCTCCTTTTCATTCAGCAAATCCTTCCAAAGTGTGACAGAAGCCGTGAACACGGCTGCAACGCTTCAATCAACAGATGGAAATACATGGAAGTACAAGAGAGGATTGAGACACATTGAACACTGTTGGTTGGAGTTTGGAGGACCTCTCAAAGGTTTCCGATTCTCATTGGTCAGCTTTTGAAACTGGTGATCTCCTAGACTCTTAGACTTTGGATTGTCCAAGACATTTCCAAGTGCCTATGCCATGCAGATTTTACACTACATGTTGGATTGTTGGCCTGGAGCAAGCACCCACCTTGTTCTTTTCTAACATCCTGATTCCTTTGTTGAACCATGCCTGAGAGGAATCTGCTAATGAGAAAAAAAGGTTTCAGCGAAGGACGGGGAACAGGCAGGGTCTTCACTTGAAGGCAAGGGCCGGTCCAAGACTTGTATACATATATATATATATATGGATTCAACCATCCAAAGCTGAGATGTGAAAGGGATGGCCGCGCCCAAAGCTCACGAGAGGCTATAGAAGGCTGATGAGTTACAGTACTTGATGAGGCAGCTTCGTGAGTGGTAATAAAAAGACCCTGTCTAGTAACTAGTATAAGTTGTCCCACGATCAAAGGAACAGAAAGATGTATTCTCCCACTAGGTTCATGCTCCAAGCAGCTGGTCACTGGTCGTCAACTTGTCAACCCCTATCAACCCCGGAAAGCCGCTGAAGTGTCAAGGATTCAGAATTTTGTAACAAGAAAGAACGCGTCGAGACATTAACCCCGTACATCATCAAGCTGCTGTCAACTCGAAAGACTGCTATCTTTGGAACTCGGGAAGGTTGGGCACCAGCGCACAGTACCAGTGCAGAGAAGTGAGACAGACTTCAGATGTTTGCCCGTCCTTCTCAATCTTGTATCTCGTCGAGCCCATGAGGCTTTCAATGGCTTCAATAAGTCCAAACATGTAGGGCAAGAAGGAAGCAGAAGAAAACCAAGACACATTCCATGAACGTGTGAAAATACAGCTAGAAGTTAGAAGCTTGAAGCCGCAAACCTGCAGTACATCTTAGTTTTATCCTACCTATCAAGCCTTTCTCTCTTCAGCTTAAATTAAAGACAAGGACCAGCCGATGATCTAGACCTATTGGCACGATTTGCATTACTTTGCGGCCAGAACTGCAATGGCTGTCCTGCAGCGAAGCTAGTATGGCGACAAGTGAAGGCATGGCAGGGAATCAGGCTGCGCATCAACAGGTTGATGTCTCATGACCCTTGGTTGAAGAAATTGATCGTTCGAGAGCCATGATTGTGCAGAGTCACTTGTCAGAATCGCAGGCTCAAGGCTTGAGGCACGTCGCCTTGTTGGAAGCACTCTGGCAGCCAGACTTGGAGGTAGTACGGTGCGTTATGAAGACTTCGCGATCCACGAACTGTTGTTGCCCACAGGAAGGGTTTCCCAAAATTCCATTGATCATAGTTGATATTGTTTGGATTGATGGACATCCACACAAAATGCCGTTGAGCCCGTGAGCCCCCCCCCCTCCATATTGGCTTCACCGTCAGCTGCAAGCGCACCATTGACCTTGCAGGGCTATGCTCAAGTATTGGGAGGACTTCCGGGCTTCCGGTGCACGATGCTTCTGGTGCTTCTTGTGGTTTGTGGATGTTTGAAACTGGGACAGCTCAGTGACGTGCCTGTGAGGCTCGGAAAGCTCAGTCCAAGAAACATCATGCAGCATAGGAAAGCCTTGTGTGACACGGACATGCCATTCCTGCCATTCCCTGACCGACATGAATCTGGTGAAGTCGCTCCTTGCCTCGCAGCTATTTTTGTTACAAGGGATCTAACGAGAGAAGCCTAACGTGTCAAAGGACCATGGATAAATCCCTGGATACATCGTCAGAGGACCACATCATGCAAGTATCAAGCCAGGGGGCCCTTGCCAGATGCCTCTAATGACGGATTGTCAAAGCATCCACTCAGCCCCATGTCAGTGAGGTCACAAAAGGCCTCATGGTTTGAAGGACTAGACTAGATGTCAGAAGGGGTGAGACTGAAACCGTAAAGCTAACTCTTGGCCATTTGGATTCATCGCACTCATACATGATCTCACCTAGCAGCCCTAGCACCCCACCACCAGGTCTTCAGGAGCTTACTTCATTGAAGGTGTCCTGTTGTTTCTGTTTCGACCCGAGATTTTCGCTTGCCTCCCATGTGGGTTGAGCCTTTGCATGGCGCAGCGGTTGCGGCATCCCAAGACTTTGCAAGGGGACGAAGCGCTGGATGCCACTGTGGATCATATCCTGAAGGACAGACAAAACACAGCGGGTCAGTCGCTTTGGGTCGGATGGGTTTGATATGGTTTGATTGATGTTGGCATTGATTGATGCTTTTCTTCAGCTTTATCAGCATCATGACTCACCTTGCCAGGGCTTGGTAACAGGCAGCGCCTTGCGAAGTTATGTGCAGACAGAGCTTGGCCCCTGCAAGACAGAGCTTAGGAACTTCCTAAGCACCTTGGACAGCAGTTCGTCTCAATGGCTTGGGAATGCAAAGGGAATAGCTTCAGTGGTTCTGACATCATGAAGTAGCACAATTTGCTGGAAATAGCACTTGGATGCTTGGATCCTCAGGCACTTTGTCATCTAAGTTGTACCTAACCTCAGTGCCCCAATGATAATGACTGTTGTAGGTGGGCTTGGAAGTGCCCCCCAAGAGATGAAAAGATGTCCACCGTCATATTATAAACATGGAGGCCATTGCTATTAGGGTGGAGGCCATTGCTACTAGTTTAAAGAAACCCAAATGTGGCCACTTGCGGCCACTCGGCCCGGTCCCGGCTGGCGGATTTTTGTCCGCGTGCAAACAATGAATCAAAGAATGACTGTCAGATCACAGGTTCTTCAGTTGTAGGCATTTGTCACTGGCTGAAATGCCCACCAATTTGCAGGCTGGAACAACTGAAACCGCAGATTATCAGATTGCCTCATCCCAAAATCCAACCTTGTTCGGCGGTAAGAGTCGTTTGTTTAGCAAGACACATGGAAGGCATGAGGGCAAGCTTTGCGTAGTAGTGTTGATTTCAGCACAATGGCACACACACTGGGAAATGAGTTGGGAGTGTGGAGCGTTAGGATGATGGCAAAGCCCAGAACCTCCTAAGTATGTGTCCTTGAAGCTTGAAAACACAGGTCAAAGTTGAGTTAGCGACACCGTCAATCATGTCGGTCATGCAGTAGGTTGAAGTAACTGACATGTCAAGAAAACAACAACAGAACAAGTTGGTTTCAACCGCCTTCCTGGTGTAGAACAACGTACAGCGGCTCCAACAACAAGACAAACCATCGTTGAGAACATTTGGAAAAAGGCAGGTACACAGTTGATCAGACTGTGCATCCACCGAACAAGCATAGCTTTGTTCGCCAGCGTTTGCTTGTCGGCTGCTGGCCCCCTGCTCTCAAAATTCTCAATTCCGAAAGTTAAACATCCGCATGTTAGAGCGGTTTACACACAAGAACCACGGGCAGGGAATGGATCTTCAGACTCTTTTTGAACTTGCGGTAGATCAAGAAGTATGAAGACCACAACGGACAAACCTCATGCAGTTGATGTTTGCTGCTCTCAGTCAACCGCTGTTACAGCTTCAGAAAAGGTTCATGTAAGCAAAGCCAGAAGGGGCCAACACATCTCATTTGATTGATTCTTGCTTCCAGAACCTGCGTTGGTTCAGGTGAGGCCTTTGAGGGGATTTTTCCTGGCATACGAGTAGGCCTGGGCTTGGGAGAGGGCGAGGGCAACAGCTTGCGAGGGGAAGCCATTTGGGTGTCAAACTGAGGGGACCCTAACCAATGAGTTTCACTTACGTCGCCTGAAATTCTGACATATCAAGAAGGATTCTTATGCAGCATTGCAGCATTTGATTCAGTCTATGGCGCATGATCCAAGAAGGTTCATTCGTAGCAACACTTACGAAGGTTTTTCCAGAGGGTATTCTTCACGGCTAAAACTGCATCAGCAGGCGTGGCATCAGGGCATCAGCATTGCTGTTTGTTTCCATGGATAGAACCACAGATCCGAAACAAACATCGAGCCGCACTGGTGGAAATTAGCCAAGTCTATATATGCGCGGCATTGATGCTGTAAGTGCGCGGAATTGAGTCTATATTAAAGAGCCTCTCCAAAAGACTCATTCAGAAGCCCGCAAAGTGACATGTCCCCTGGTTGCAGGCTCTTTTGGGCCTGTAACGAACCCAAAGTTTGCGTCGCCAAACTTGGCTGAAGCATCCTCATCAACTGACATGAAAATCGTGTTTCACATCCCGAATCCCGTCCATAGGAAGAATGCTACTAGGGGCTCCTGGCATCGCTACTAGGAGCAAGGACGCTACTAGGGGCTCCTGGCCTTACTACTGGGAGCAAGAAGCTATTAGAAACAAGAATTAGTAGTAAATTTAAAAAGAACTGACGCACTTCAGGTCGGGACCTCCTCTCTGAGGAGGCCATCAGTGGCTTCGAGAAGGCGAGAAAGGGCCGAGCGTTGTGAACGGCGAGGAAGGTTTCAGGATGTTTTGGGGTATGTGAGACAATGTGGCAAACAACAAGTACAGAGCGTTCGCCAGTATACTCGTTACCCATGTAAGAACTTGATGTACTGGTTATTACTGGTTGCTGGTAAGTGTGTATTTCTCAAACGAAAAGACATGGCAACCTGGTTGTCGGCCTCGCGCACTGGAACCGGTAAAGCCCCAATTTGTTATTTCCCAAAACACAAGGTGCAGCCTGCTCGAAGCTGTCCGCATGAATGCAAAGTGGAACTGTAATCTTGATGGTTGGGACATACAGAATGATGTAAGCACTGTGCATGGACTTGGATCCAAGAGTCACAGCCCTAGCATTCCCTTCCAGAGTGGGGGTTATGAAAATTCAGGTCCCCCTTGCTTGTGGTTTCTGTGTTTGACAACCTGAGGTGCTTCTTACGGCCATCGAAGAGAATGACTTTAGAGCTGAGACAGCGTTGGAAGAGGTACTTTGCAGGGCTGAGGAAAGGGAAAAGGCAAGGCCAACAAGCTAGGCAGTCAAGAAGTTAGTCCAAGGTCTTCCAGAAGAGCATGGATAGAACGGATAGATTGCTAGTGCTTGTTGCCCGCTGTGAGTTTCTGTAACTGTAGATGTCATTCTGCTAGACAGAACATGATCACTTCTTAATGCCCATGCATGGTTCAAATCCATGGCATTGCTTTGTACTTTCTCCATGTGCTTGCTGATTTGCAAACTGTGAGGCCATCCGTTTGGTGCCAAGCCAATTCAACTCAGATGCACGTGTACTGGTGCGGAACCCCAGTGAGCTTTATGCATTTTGCCTGTGATGTGAAGCTACGTCGTGCCTGCAAGGCCAAACCAGAAGCAGTCTGGGCGGTTCATCTTCTCAAGACATGTGCGTGTCCTGCCAAAGGCACCCAAATCTAAAGACCTAAAGCCTGCTGTGGGTGTCTGGTGTGCTGGACTAGTGCCCTGGACAGAGGTGTTGCTGGCTGAACTGGAAGACGCAGTTTGCACCAGCAGCGTGATGGGCGAATTGGAAAGTCCCGATGATGCGGAGGTGCCCGAAGTGAAAGGGTCGCTCTTGTCGGCGCTCGCTGAAGTAAAACAGTATCAAGTTTGTGTGGATCCCATTTGATGCACTCGGATCAGAATAGACTGTCAAGCAGATTCAATCAAAGCATTCATTAGTGGCAAGGGTGTTATAGATTTGCACTATGTGGCAAGGGTCATGCATGCAGATCGATGTGCTGCCCCACGAGCAAGGAAGAGACAGAAACCCGCAAGAGAACGCAAGAGATTAACGTGAGTGACAAGTGGATGAGCCATGCGAGGAGCCAGTGCAGTTTTCGACAGTTGTCTCCTTCGAGGCTGAGAGGCGGTGCCGGATGGTGCCAGGGCTGGGTTCGAAAGGTGTCTACCTTGGCGGTGGCCATTATGCTTTAGTCTTAGTAGCTTCTTGTTACTAGTAGTAAGGCCAGGAGCGCTCCTAGTAGCGATGCCAGGAGCCCCTAGTAGCTTCCCTGTTACTTGCACCCTATGAAGATACTTTGAGTGTTTCCTGATCCTTCGCATTTGCGGTGTCCGAGATGTGTTTCAAATTAAAAGCCGCATGCCTGCCACACTGGATGGACATTGCGCCTAAACCCGAAGATGATGCGAGCGGAGGGTTGTTGGTATGCTGCGGAATTTGATTGTGTCGAGGATTCGAGTCCTTGCCCTTGCCTCAAATTGTCAAGCGTATCCATGCCAGCGGGTTGCAGTTCACAAGATTTTACAAGTACAATCAAGTACATTGAATTCTCATGGCGGTCATCGCTAGGTTGGAGGCCATCGCAGTTCTTTAAAGAAGAGTGGCCGGAGACCAGTGACCAGCACCAGCATCAGCATCAGCCCTTTCTGGAGGCACGATGTGGATCCAGAGGACGTCTTCTCGGATCGCTTAGAACCGCTGGTCCTGTACCAATCGCAGGTGGGAGAGGATACGGGAGGATCACTGGGGCATTGCTGGATCTCCAGGTTGTATGGCGTTTGCATCAAAATGACGCACTGCAAGCTCAATCCGTGCCTT